CTTTTTATGAGGAAACTTGGCTTGATTTTCTCACAAATGCAACTTATTGCAATCCACAATACATTTGCATTTTAGTATTACAATATATTGCGACACGATATATTGTTATACCCCTGCATTGTTTTCAATGTTGGACAATTGTATCAACGTATGTAGCCTACATATTCTATATCTTGCGATCCAACAGAGGATATGGATCAGTTTTTATAGGGAAAGACTGCCTAGTTAAATGTTTAGCTATGTCACTACTGGTTTTTGAGCTAATCATTCATGTTAACAACTTTACAGCACTTATTGTGAATTTCACTGACATTGTAGTAGGGTCGCTTTGTGAAAACATCTAAATGGTTAATCATAGATATAGTAAGACAGAAACTCACCTGTTCTCCACTCATGTTGGTCTGCTGTATTCCCTGAAAAGGTAAAGAGGTTAGAGGCCTGCAAGCCCGTCGGGTCCCTGGGTCATTTAGCTTCTCTCCTTTTATTGTGCCCACATATGCGCAGAGCACACATAGGCTACTGTATGAAATATTGTTATATTAGAAGTTGGAGCGTGGGGAGTTACTAAAAGTTCCCAATGCTTCAGGAAAAGCTGCATTTTGGAAGAGTTTTGATTTGATTACCACGGCAAACAGTGAGTCAATTGGTCATGTGCAGTGCAGAATCTGCAGCAAAAAAAGCACGCAATAGGCTAAATCGTGCCAGGCAATAGGCAAGTGATCACGCAAGCGCCTCCATGTCCTCTAAAGCGCGCTTTAGCTCTCCGCACAAACGATTAGATATTAAACATTTAAACTAACATTGTGATATGCTTGAACTGTTTTATATCTATAGATTTTATTTTAGGTCGTGATGATTTGAGAAGGCTAAATTGATAAAACATAGGCTATGATCAACTTACTGTCTGCCGCTGGCTGCTTGGTCGTTACTTTAAAAAACAAAAACTTACATTTAACGAACAAAAAAATTCTCCAAACGTTTTTCTACATTAACTTAAGGGGGGAAAACTCGGGTCGGATTTGGGCCAAGAATTCAAGGCCAGGCTAGGGCTTGAGCGTCTCGGGCCACGGGCCAGCTAGGGCCTATATTTGAGGCCCGTGCAGGGCTCTAAAAGACCTACTGTCGTAACAGTGTAACTACAGAAAGAGTCACTAAAAACCATGACTAATCTATAGTCTGACAGTCAATAACAGTCTCAGTTGTACAAAAGCTAACCTCATTTCTTCTTATCTCCAGATGCAGCTGACAAGGACATGTCAGATTCTTCATCGTCCATGGTGGTAGATCTGAGTCTGTCTCCATCTTGCTCTCCCTCACCACCCTCTCCCATAGACAGCGGCGCTAGCTGGAGCCCCACAGCGCCTCTTCTGGCCTCAGTGAGTAATTTGTACCGCAAACTCTGCAACATTTTTCAAATGGTTCAGTTGATTTTGAACAACACTGTTAAATGATTGTATGTGTGTGTATATATATATATATATATATATATATGTATATATAAGCCTAGATGTATTTGTAAAAATCACTCTAGTTGACATCAATTTACATAGTTGAAAATGACCTTTTAGTCTCAGCGACGTCAGAAAATTCACAGCAAATCAGAAAATGAGTCTTGTTTTTATCTATGTGGTAAATTGATTCAAATGATTCTGATCACTTTCAAGAATCAAAGTATTATTTCTGAGATGAATATGATCTCAGAAGTCTTTAGCTGTCTGGGTGTAGACAAAGTTTCTTTGACAAATGTAATTCTGCTGGAAGAAAGACTGCCTTATACACCATTACCATAATTCAATTCCCCTCCACACTAATTAATTTCAGTCCAGTCTCACACGGTGTCCTAATCTGAACCCTTTCTAGGATCAAAAATAGAGGGTAGGTTTGGGAACATGTCCGGACTTGTTCGGCCATGAGGTGGTCTCTTACTTCCCAACCAAGATGAGTCGGACATGATTCAAAAATGAATTACTGATACATAAGCTCTTCTACTTCTTCAGGAATCCGAAAGCACAACGTACCACGAGGACAGCGCCTCTCCTCCTCCAGGTTTCCAGTTCTTTCTGCCGATTGGTGCAGAGGGTCCCCTGCGCCTGCCCTCCTCGATGCTGATTGGTCAGCACTCCCCTGAGCCCTTGAGTGATGAACAGCTGTCCTGCCGCTGGCTAAAAGTGAGTGAGAGAAAGCTGGTATTACTGTTTTGAGCCATGATGATGAGCTTGAAGACTAAACTATCCGTTTCTTTCTTCTGCTGATATTTTGAAGAATGTGGGTAACCAAACAGCTGACGGTAGCCATTGACTTCCATAGAATGGAAAAAAATACAATGTAAGTCAATGGCTACCGTCAACTGTTTACCCAGTTGTTTACCAACTGATTACCCACATTCCTCGAAATGGCTTCTTCTGTGTTCTGCAGAACAAAAATATATAAATAATCAAACAAGTTTGGAACAGCTTGAGAGCGAGTAAACAATCACAGAATTTTCATTTTTGGGTGAACTATTCCTTTAAGCGCATGGGAAAAGCTGCATTTTGGAAGAGTTTTGATTTGATTACCACGGCAAACAGTGAGTCAATTGGTCATGTGCAGTGCAGAATCTGCAGCAAAAAAAGCACGCAATAGGCTAAATCGTGCCAGGCAATAGGCAAGTGATCACGCAAGCGCCTCCATGTCCTCTAAAGCGCGCTTTAGCTCTCCGCACAAAAGATTAGATATTAAACATTTAAACTAACATTGTGATATGCTTGAACTGTTTTATATCTATAGATTTTATTTTAGGTCGTGATGATTTGAGAAGGCTAAATTGATAAAACATAGGCTATGATCAACTTACTGTCTGCCGCTGGCTGCTTGGTCGTTACTTTAAAAAACAAAAACTTACATTTAACGAACAAAAAAATTCTCCAAACGTTTTTCTACATTAACTTAATAAAAAAACTAAACGAAATATAATCACTTTGACATTACATACAAAACTGAACTATTTTAATAGCTGAAACAGTAGTATAAGCTGTTTTGGGAGAAGGGGGGAAAAAGACGGGCTCGGGTCGGATTTGGGCCAAGAATTCAAGGCCAGGCTAGGGCTTGAGCGTCTCGGGCCAGGGCCGGGCTAGGGCCTATATTTGAGGCCCGTGCAGGGCTCTAAAAGAGGTGTTTCGGGTCTCGGGAGACTAGCGTAAATTGACCGACAGCGCCATCTGCTGTTTTTGGAAAAGGAAGTTGCTCAATTGCATGTGTGAGAAAATCTGCCTGCAACGCATTTGTGAGAAAATCAAGCCAAGTTTCCTCATAAAAAGGCAAATGAGTCTCACAATTGTAACACACAATACATACATTTGTCCATATCTCTGCATTTTCTCTCAATTAGAGTTTTGTATTTGCAAATCACTTTGCGTTTGTTTGAAAGTTGAGTTTTTCTTTGCAAAGCAGATTGTGTTTATTTGCAAAACGCTGGATTTGTTTGATGAATATTGGCACAAAATTCACTCCATATTGATGGGCTGGAGTCATGTGGATTACTTGTGGATTATTGTGATGTCTTTTCAGCTGTTTGAACTCTCATTCTGATGGCACCCATTAACTGCAGAGATCCAATCGTTTAATAAAATAAAAGGAAATTTCATATGCCTGGGTACTATCAAAAATAAATAGATCAGTGGATACTGCAATCAGTGGATCAGTCCAAGTTCAGCAAGTTCAGTAAGTACAGAAGACAATGACTTTTTTTACTGCAAATGATCATTTTGCCACAATTTGTCTTACTGTTCAAAAGTCATCCAAAATCTACTGAGAACATTCAAATAAAATCTTGCCTTGCCATGCGAGTAAATATGGAACTCAAGAATGTTATGGGAAGTATTTTCTTTGAAACCCTTCCCACTGCTTCAGGATGAGGATTGATCATGCTGGAAACAATGTGCCCAGAACATCACAACGGCCAACATGTGCTGGCCATATTATGACTCATATGACCAGGCAAGAATAGCACTGGCTACAAATAGCAGTTAGCTGACTCGTCTCAGCAGGTGCTGTCACTTTCAGGTAATAGTGTTTGTTTTGGTTAAGATAAATGGTTGTCATCCGTGGATCAGGTGCTGTTCTGTTGAGGTGTGCTTGTATTGATTTGTTCTTTTGGATAGTGCAAACACAATTCACTTGCGTATGACTCATTTGAGATACAAATCAAAGAATCATTTAAGATTCCTTTTAGAAACATGCTCCAAGAACACCTTTCTGTCTAATGCCTAATCAAGAACATAAGGGCCTTTCTGTAATCATGCAACCCAATCTATGATTGTCTCCATTCCATTCCACAAATGACTCAACACTGTCTCTCAAGGGACACTAGAAACATTGAATGAACTACTCTCAAGACGACATAAAACAAGTGCGAGTGATGTGCTCTTAGGTTTCAAAAGAACAACATTCTTGAGTTTGAACTTATATCAGTGCAAATGCATCTTTTAGACTGTGATCTAAAACATTTAAATTGAATTATGGTACATTTTATTTTGTTGGTTCTGGGGCAAAATAAAAGCTCGAAGAAATTATGTATCAAAGGTATTCCAGCATGAAAAGTGTTTGCACACATTTGGATTCTCAAACTTTAGTTAAACCCAGTACCATAATGTTCAGACTAATTTAAAATAGTTTAAAATAAATAAAACGGGTCAGTATAAAATGGAAATGTAAGAGCAGGGGTTTTCAAACTGGGGTCCATGTTGTGACCCAAAGCCAGAGGGTCTCGCAAAAAATTTTGCTATTCGGTATTTTCCAGACTACACGTTGCATTTTTTTATCTTCTGAACGTGCTATGATTTATATTCCAAAGTGACTTATATAATGCATTTAATGTCAAATAAGCAAAACGTAAACAGGTAAAAGCGGGCACTTCAAAGTTTCTATAAATATATTTCTCATTCTGTGTGACAAGTATAGTGTTAGACAGTATCGCTGAGTTTTTCTTCATTTCAGGAAGAGGTTCACAGAGACGGCAAGTGCATTTTGTATGTTTTCTTTATTTTACAAAAGTACAACGTTTCACTGTTATTTTGAAGGTACACAGATAAAAAATAGATCGTTTTGAATGTCTTGCTCTATCTATTAGGGGTGAGAATCACCAGAGGCCTCACGATACGATATTATCACGATGCTCGTGTCACGGTACAATATTATTGCGGTTTTAAATATATTGCGATTTATTACCTTTTTCCAACTTCAAATTATGTCCCCAAAGGAAAACTGTGACAACATCTGTTTTAACTAGGGATGCACCGATACAGATACTGGTATCGACTGTTAAATTTAAATTAAATAAAACATATAGTCCTACATCTAGGGATGCACCAAACCGAAAATTCTGGATGCACTTGGCCGAAAACCGAAACTGCTTTGTAATGATTATTTATTATTTTATTAAATAATATAAAGTAATTTTGTAAGACTTTTTAAATTTAACTCAATTTTAATGATACTGAATTAAAAAAAACACAAGCCAATAAAATAACCACACTTTTACTGAAAGTAACACAATAAAACTGGACAGAATTTATATTAATATTGGTAACACTTTACAATAAGGTTCATTAGTTAACTATTTAAGTTAATGAACTAAGAATGCAGCATTTACTAATCTTAGTTCATGTTAATTTCAACATTTACTAATGCATTATTAAAAACTAGCCTACACCATGTTACAGCACAGTAGCGCTACTGCAAACCGGAACAAGTAGGCCTATACTGCATAGAAATTTCCTGTCAGCGCGTTATTTGAGCAGACTTTGCTTTTCCGGTGAGCATGCTCATTAACTAACATTAAGAAAGATTAATAAATACTGTAATAAATGTATTGTTCATTGTTCGTTCATGATAGTAATACATTAAATAACATTAACTAATGGAACCTTATTGAAAAGTGTTACCTTAATATTAAATATCAATATATTATTTTTATTCACTTCTATGTAACAGAATCAGATATAAGTTGTTGTTGTTGTTGTTGTTTTTTGAAATATTATCCAAATGGTATAATAAAAAATCGATACTATGCTGTATCGATTTTTCCCCCCACCCCTACTATCTATCACATCTTTCCGCTGATGTGAGTAACCCAAGTGTTCGCGCCGGCGCCTCCCGCGCGCACACAACATAAACAACAACAACATTGCAATCTTTACATCGCAGCCTCTTCATCATCAAAGTAAATGAGACAACTAAACATACAAAAGGTATTGTTGACTCAATTTAGCTTGTCTTTTGTGCAATATGTAGGTTTTGCTGGTCAGCGCGAGCATCGCCATGCTGTGGTGTTTTCCAAACAAATGTTTTGCATATGTGAAGGATGTTGTTTAAGTAGATATTCAGATACAAGAGAAGTACAAAGCCTTCTTTACAAAATAAATAGGCTAATAGTTTATCAACCAAATGTTACACCGCGTCTAACGATTCACTCATGGAAATGAGAGGTATGTGAGCCCAGCAGGAGGTTCAGTTTTTAGTTTCGTTTTAAATTAGTTATAGGCTTAGCATTTCAAATAAATGTTGTTTGTAAAGAATGGCACTATAATTTATTTTATGACATACAGTTAAGCAAAACACGAGGAAGAGTGTTTTTCCTAATATCAGGACCATTGCAAATGTTTATTGAACTGAATCAATATAACAAGAAATATATTTTGAGTGAGTTTACTATTAATAATAACTATTTTCTCATTTTGCTCTATTTGGACAAAGAGTCCAAACAAAGCCACAGCAGTACAGTGTCCTCTACAAGCAACACAGCAGCCTTTCCTATTGAATTATTCACTTTATTCCTCACTGAATGAATCAGCCATTTGAATGAATGATTTGTCTTATTCTAAAGACACTGTAACTGACCGCCACCTACTGACTGTTTTACTTTCATATTGTTATGTATAACTTTATGTATTTGAAACATTAATATGATAGTGTTAGGCAATTATATATGTAGCTATGCAAATAAACACAACACAATAAATCATTGTGTATATCAAATCCACCTGGCCTCTGTAACTGTCTACTCTGTAGCACTATCGTTTTCAATGCAAAAACATTACATTAATTAAAAATGAATTGACCGATTTATAATTTAACGTTAACGGAATGCCAGGTAGGCGTACAGCAGTGACAGACAGACACATATAACGGGGTCCTGTATGGAAAGATGTTTCCCAGCCAACAG